ATATAACCAGAAAGAATATTCAAAATATCATAGGTATGTATAATACGTTGTTAATGTCTTCTAAATGAATAAAAATAATTTATCTTGCCTCGAGTAAATATACATTTTTACAAAAACATGTAAAGATTGAATGAAAATCGTAAAAAAATCTATCTTACAAAAATATTTCTTTTTATCAAAAATTGACAAATAAAAACGGGCAAATGAGAGTCCTTCGCAGTTATTGAGGCGCAAATTATCTCTTTAATAGTATAATGAGGTCTACGTATAAATTTTTAATACAAAGATTCCAAACGACTACTCTTCGAGTCATCATCAGTGTGTCTTCATAAAAAAATATTTCACGAGATCTCAATGCGGAAGTCACTTAAAGTATGCATAAATCCAAGTGTATATTCCACGTTGGTCACAATGCTATGTGGTGTATATAAAGAATAAAGCTCGCAAGAAGTCGTAAAATATAGTAACATGAAATGTGGATCATTGTCGTGGTCGATACTAGTTAATTAAAATACATCATTCAAAAAGAAAATCACGTAAGTAAATCTCTTCCGTTCACACGACGTTATTCCTTCAGCCGTCAGACTTAAAAAAAGAAGTCGAAGAGGAGTCGAAACGTTTGAAAATCTTTGTATTAAAAATTTGTACGTAGATCTTATTATATTATTAAAGAGATAATTTGCGCCTCAATAACTGCGCTCGACTCTCATTTGCCCGTTTTTGTTTGTCAATTTTTTAAGATTAAGAATCCGTGTTAGATTTTATTTTCTTTTTATCGACGAAGATCATAATGTCACGATCATAGCAAACATTCTAGAAGTCATTTCCTCTTTTTTCTTCAGAGATCTAAACAATCGCATGAGTTCTCCACTTCATACATTGGCTTTAGCCATGATAAATATCATCGTTATATTGTTAAAAATAACTATCAGTTTTCTTCAACTGAATGAATGAAAGAGGCACAAAGAAATAGAGGAGTGTATTTGTCTCCCCGGCGTATCGTCCCGATCAGGATGCTCCAGAAGGAATGAGTAAAAGAATAAGTGCGCTGAATAAATAGGAGCACGCATGTACGTTACATGTGTTATACCGTAATCAGTGGACGGTCTGAAGGTCGAGCCGTCGCTTCCTACCCACGATTCGACCGACACAAATTCGGCAACGAAGCTCGGTATGGTGCATTTTAAAATAGCCGCATTTCCACGTATTACGTATTCCGACACAACTTCCGCCTCGTAATACTGAGTCACGACTGCGAAAAGATAATGGCGTGTTATAATGGCGCATTGTTGTGTTGCTGCATCGCGCGCTTCCGAATATATCGCGTTGCAATGGCTGCGTGCCTAATCGAGAAGAAACAATTTCCTCGGCTCACAGGACGCCGCATAACATTTCTTTAATTATTATTATAACGCCACAAGGCGTTGTCTGCACACGTCACCGCAGACAATGCCTGATCGTAACGTTGAGATTCAATCGTATATAGAAACGGAACACATTTCTCTGGAGAAAATTAGGTGATTACAATCAAAGAGATTGCAACATTGGAGCAGCCGCGCTAACATTCCAGCTAACATTATACAATTTGATCCTCAATCATGTAATTACGGAAACTGGTTCTTAGTGTAGTAAGTAGAAGTCTCGCGCGCGGATTCAGCCTACCCAAGAAATTGCGTCGGTTACACAATCTGATGTAAAATCAAGCACACTCCCATACTCATGTAAGACCATTCCAGCCATTTAAATACGAGGTAGCAAGTACGCGGTTTCGAATGTACGTTTCGAAAAGGCCGTGTTGCGTTTAGATTTTTACTTCGATTAACTTGAACGAAACATCAGCGAGAATCGCAAACGAGGATAAATATATCGCGCCCTCCCGCACGCGCGGCATCGACTCGACGACGTTGACCAGTTTATCACTTTCGCTGCCCACGCGAGTTCCCGGACTACTCGAATTTCCTAAGAGTTTCGAATTCTACCGCTGTCCTGATCCGGATCGAAAGAGTTCCCCTGGTCGTCCTGCCAGCCAATGACCTGAACGAACTCCGCGACGAAGCTCGGTATACTGCACTTGAGTATGGCCGCGTTGCCGCGTATTACGTACTCGTTGTTGACCTCGGACTGATAATACTGATGCACCACTGCAATAAACGAGCGAAATAATCTGCGCGAGCCAGACTTTTTTTTTATCAAACATTAACGGCGTCCACTCATGCCGTTTTTATTTTCACAACGACTGGAAATACGTTTAACGGAATATCATGTATTATATTCGCGTCAAGAGTTGCTCGGCTTATGTATTATCTCTTTACAGTGCGAGATTGTTTATACTCATGAAAGATTTTTTTGTAAATACATGGAGAAATTAATTTTTTACTGAAAACCGACTGAAATGTCGACGACGTTGACGGCAGCATTTGGGCGATACATTTCGCCATTGCTCCGCGAGCAGAATTATTTGCGTTATCGCATCTTATGTCGACAGTTGCCAACGAGCAGATATCGTGAGTGCATCACACGATCGATTGACTTTCCAGTCTGATGCATGCGTATGCACGCTGGACGCGTTTACACGATGTTGATACAATGTTTTCAAAAAAGTTTTAAACAAAACCATGAAATTTCTTTCGCTCTTACGTAAAATTGAATGAAATTATGTAAAATCATATTTAATATTTAATTGAAATATTTAATTATGAGAACAATTATTTCGTAATTAACATACTAACTGCTTTCGCATTTTTATACTAGATAAATGATGCAGTAATAACAAGATTATACTATATAATATTGCAGGTAAAAATTAATTTAAAATACTATAAAAATGCATTTATTATTTCTTCTGTCATTATCAATTATAGCGTTGCTATTATTAGATTTTAAAACAGAGAAAAGGGAACAGACTAAAAATAAATATTATTAAACGAACTGACACATTTAAAATACACAAATGGCGCGTCAGAGGCAGAATACCTTGTGGTTTAATAGAAAAATGAGAGAGACAGCTATCAACGGTCAAATATCCGATCGTTTCGGCTAGATACGATCGAATTGAATATAACGTTAACGAATGTGACGATGCACGCACATATGTATGTATATGTACAGACGTGCTGGCCGCGGAAAGTGAACGACCCATATACTTTCGCGTTTGCACCGCTCCAAATTGATTTGCATTTTGCTACCGTGGCAATTGAGATCAATATACGAGAAGTGACCGAGTCGCACGGATGGTGTCAGTCACTCAACCGAACGACACGGTGCATTTGTGCCCCCGAACTGGGAATATATGACCGGGCATTAACGACATTATTTCTTAATTGTCTCTGTGCGAGGGGACATAACTGAATTCGGAAATTGCGTCGGTAAAATTTCGGCGAGACTCAGAATGGAAAATCTAACAGGAAAATTAAATGTATCTATCTTTTAAAATTTTTTTTTTCTATACGTAACGGCTAAGTCACAAATGCAAATTTTATTTTTATGAAACTTTAGACCTTCTGAATAATTATAAAATATACGGTTTTCAAATTTATGAATCGATATGGATCATTGCACGTCAAAGATGCGACGACGAAATTTTCTGCTCGCAAGGAGGTAAGGAGAAATCGGTTAGTCCACTGATCAAATCCTGATTCTGTTTGTACCAAAATCATCGCCGGGCACGAATTCCTCTCCCTGATCCGTGTGCCAGGATAGGACTTTGACGAAATCGGCGACGAAAGAAGGAACGACACACTTCAAAATGGCACTGTTCCCACGGATCGCGTATTCTTTATTGACGTCGGTGTCGTAATACTGCGCCACCACTATAATTTCGTGCACACAAAATAACGTTCACAATGCGTCAGAAATTATTTTGCTCCAGCCTCAACAGCTCCAAGAATTTTACAAATATTCTTTTTTTGTGAATGCAAATTCTTCAAAATTAATTTTCTACAATTAATATAATAATGTTATACAAAATTAATCATTATTTCTAAAATTTCTAACTTCTAAATTATATAATATTTTTAATAATCAATAATAATTTTCAATCAAGTATTATTACATATTTGTGTAACGATTTTTTTTTAATATGTAAATTTTTAAATATAACTATTCTTTACAGATTTTTAAAAATCTGGTTATATTTAACCGGTAAGAGATAAGGCTGCAATTGGAAACTGTGCTGCGGTCGATAAAGCGCAGTGACGTCAGTTTTAATGACATCACTGTGTGATTCAGAAATGCATTCAGTTTTGCTAAAATGCAATGGTACGATGACATCATGTAAAAATAGGATTACATCGATGTAAATAGTAATTTCCTGATTACTTGAGAGCAGATTGAGATTGGAGAACGAATCGAATGTAAAAGTTCGCATAAACGGCGGCGGCAGAGATTGCAAAGTATGTAAAAGAGCAATATCTCGGACTACTATTGCCATCCGATTGACACCGATGTCTTTTACCGTGTTGGAGTTTTTCCAAAGGAAAAACGTCGAATAAAATGTAGAAGAAATAGAGCACAAAATCGCGTGCTTTTTAGCCAGCTGGAAAGAAGATTCTTTAAATTTTCTAATGTTTAGCCATCTTATATTCTATCTAAAAATATAATTTTAACTTTAAAAGTATTACATTTACTCACAAAATTAATTAAGATTTCTTAATTAAAAAGTTTTAATGTTTAATAAGTAAAAACAGTTTTTATTTCATTATACAGAATGTTCCCAAAACTGTCGACCTTAATTTTAACATTTTTTTAATCGAACTGAAATAATTAAAGTTAAAAAGTCAAACTGTTTTTACACTTACTTCTTTACAATATTAATAAATGGCACACACATTTATTTTAATATTAAATAGACAATTAAATTTGTGACAAAAATCAATTTTAAATTCGAATTAATTTAAGATTAAATTTAAAGGTACTCTTTATTTCTGAAACATCCTGTATAAGGTACTATAGATGGCTAAACGATAAATGCTTAATGGCTAAATGTAAAGATTGACACTTACCGGCTCTCACGTTGACATCACGGCTGTGTACTGAGCCTGCAGGGGAACGTGCCAAACAGCTGTAGACCTGAGCGTGAACTTCCTGACGGTAATCTTCGGCGCGGAAAGGAGGGAACACCAAATTTCCGTTTGGCAGAACCTGCGAAGGGCCAATAACCGTAGAATGTAGTAACTAAATTAGTACGTAATAACGCACGCAGCAAGCTTGGAAATAATTAAAGCGTCCTTCACGATCGCGTGAATGAATGTGTGGGATGGCATACATGGGCGTTTAATAATTCCATTCACATATTACAGATCGGTATTTGATATTGAAATGACTGATAATTGACGGTTATTTAGATGAATAGTTCATCGTCCTACGCATGGAAGAATTAATGAAACTTATTTTCAATCCTGTTCTTTTTATTAAAAATTCGTTTTAATGACGTTTAATAGAATAGAAAGTTTAACGGGCTACGCGCGCATCTATTTTAAAGCAGTTTGATAGAATCAATCGTGAATCTCTCTTGATATCATTTCGATTCTTATTTAATTGTAAAATTTTAATAAAGGGAACAGATAAAAACTTGTGACACAATACCTGTCTCAAGCCGGGAACGTCTCCTACAGCAGTTCCATCAGAGCGGACCCAGATGATATCCGGTTGTGGGTTTCCTCTTGCCTGGCATTCAACGACGGCTCCAGTTCCGTTTGAGAAATCAATCCGGTTTGGGGGTTCCTTGACAAACACCGGTCCCATAGATGCATCTTCAGCCGCGACAACTGCAAACAGAATGCAAAAGTTTCCATGATCATGCACGAGCGCTTATATTGGTACAGTTTATTTTGAAAGTGAATTTTGAAACTAAATTTCAGTATCAAAATTAACAACATTCCTTAGAATATATAAAATACACTATTTTATAATATTAAAATAGCATATTATATATAAAATAGTATATAAAATAATATACTATTATATATAAAATAGTATATAAAATAATATACTATTTTAATATTATAAAATAGTGTATTTTATATATCGTCTGTTCTAAAAGTAATGAGACTATTTTTGGGGGCCTAATCAGAATTGTCGGGGAGTGGATCCATTGGACAGGGTCTTTGATGCGGGACGTCGGGTATACCATCTGACTCTTCTTAGTTCCTCCGAGCCTTTCTAGCAATTGATATCATTAGCAAAGTACGTTGTAATTTTTGTGTCTTAATTGTCACGGGAAAATTCAGCACAGACTTTGTAGTAGCAGCGTTACGCGATCTAATTCTGAAGACAAAGCAGCATTTCAATGAGCTGTTCTTAACATCTCCAACGTTTCGGAAACAGATTTTCTCAGTTTCACGCCGAATTTGATCGCTGCTTGAGACTGCTAAATTTTCGACCGTGACAAGACATAAAAAATATAACGTACTTTACTGACGGTATCAACTGCCAGAAAGGCTCGGTGGCAACTGAGAAGGATCAGACTGTACTTATACCTGACATCCCGCATCAAAGGCCCAATGAATTCACACTTCGACCATTCTGATTGGGATGCCAAAAATAGTCTTCATTACTTTTGGGACCATGTATATTCTTAACATTATTTTAAAATACACTTTTATAATATTAAATTTTAAATAATATTAAAATACACTTTTATAATATTTTATAATATTAAAATAGTATATTATAAATATACTATTTTATAATATTAAAATAGTATATTATAAATATACTATTTTATTATAAAATAGTGTATTTTATATATTCTAACGTAAGAAATGTTGTTAATTTTGATTCTGAAATTTAGTTTATTATAAAATAATATACTATTTACAAGACACACTCCAAATCCAAGTGTGTAAATCTGTAGTCACTTTTTACGCATTTATACGCGTGTTATATTTTTACACATTTTATCTGTGTTTTACACAGTTAAATGCATATTTTTACACGCTTAATTTTACAATAATATGTGTAAGAGTGTAAAAAATATGCATTTAATTAATTTTTATGTGTAAAACACATAAAATGTGTAAAAATTTAAACATACACACTTGGATTTGCAGTGCAAGTAGTTAATTTTTTCCAAATCTTTTTTTTTTGAAACTGTAAACGACATGCCACGACTTCAGTCTTCAAGCGATATCTTTGTAAACAATAATAACTGAGCTATACTTATTTTTGTACGATAACTGCAGCGGAGTTTTTGCTACGAAAGAGGAATGTTTCGCGGACAGAACGAAATGTATAAGGGACACTTAACTAGCTTGTGGGAACATTAGCACGAAGCCAATTAATTTAAAGTGCCACGAGACCAATGCGACGAGACCTTTGTCTCGTGTCTTCGGGTTTCGCTTATCATTCGTTTCAACCAGGATACGCGACACCCACATTCAATTGGCACGTTGCCAATTGCAGCAAACAACAGGTTGTCGGGGTCTGTTATTGAATAATATGCGATCAACGTCACGTGACCATAAGGGAGACGGCAATGCGTGATTCCTTTTCCGTCGAGAGCGTGCGCTCTTCGTCTATATCGGTACCAAATCGGTAGCGACAAGCTATTTCCATCGATGGCAACTTACACGTGTACCGTTGACTGAAAATTTATTATAAATACATAAATATAGCGCATTCCATATTTCATAAAAGGCTATAAAGAATCATCCTCTTTGAAATATTATAAATCAAAAACAGTTTCCGGACGATTTTTTTTTAATATACGATGTACCAAGCGATTGTGCACATAACTGATTATAATTTTACAACTTGGGGCTCGACAACAGAGAAGATCTATTTCGAGATTTTTATTTATTCTTCTGTGAAACCGCAATTCTTTTTTACAGCGGCATAAATTTAAAATGCGCATTGTATAGCGATCCAAACAATTGCTGCAAGGGGGCCGTCCAAAGTTTATGCAGGAGTCTACCGTGCTACACACTTTTCCTCACACGTAGTAGCCACCTACTGATTCACCTACGACGACGATCGCGGCGAAGCGAGAGCGTGTACAAACACAGTGCAGTATAAAATCAAGTTACGAAGAACCGGTTGGCGAAGCGTGCGCGCCGTTGGAGCGAGCAGGCGCAGGATACATATACAGGTATAAAGGACAGGTGTTCCGAATTTTTGTGCGGATGTGCGCCTTCTGCGCCTTCGTGTGCCTCTCGACTCGCGCAACTGCAGTTTTATTAGCGCTTATCCTTATTCTGGTCCTCCCACGGCTTTCCTCGCGATCCATTTCACTCGCGTATCGATGCGGTAGCAGAAAACTTTCCGCGAATGAAATTACATTGAAATTGAAGTGGATAATAAGAAACGTCAACTTTTTACTTTTTTTCTCTCTTGCGAGTTTACGGGTGTATAATCTATCTTTGTCTTCCTTTTCTTCCCTTTCTTTAAGCTTCATCACCGATATCTTCTCTTTCTTCTCCCTGTCTCTCTTTCTTTCGCTTAAATCGTTCCGCACAGTTGACAGCTACAATGGCGTCATGCAGGTTACCGAAAGGGTTAAGAGGATTAAACTAACGTAAGGGTATCACAATGATTAACTGCGTACGGCGATTTCAATGGTGATTGTGTATTTACGTCCGAGGGTTATACGTTGTTTATATGTTCCGCGGCACGTGCACGCGGTGGCAACAATGGCCCAGGGTGTACCACTGCCGCGCGCCGCGCGCGGCTGTGCAACGTGTGGCGGAGGATGTGGTGCGGTATGTTGCACGAGTGGATATATCGATCGCAGAAGTGGCACGTAAAATCCTTTTTTTTCTTAGATTAAACTCTCACGCATCCCGCGATGAAAGACGAGATTCTTCCCGGTCGAGAACCGCTCTGTAATCTATATATAGCGATAGCTTCGAAACGTCCGGACACGCCGCATCGAATATATTTCCAGCGTGCACACACGCGCACGCGTGTCGCCGCACACGTGACTCACGTGTGTGTGCATCTGCTCGCTCGCGCGCGCGCGCGCGCGCGTGCGTGTGTATGCGCGCGTATGTAAACGCAAGACGCCGTGACGTGCGTAACAATGAGAAATATATCGAAACTATAAAGTTGATGGTGTCGAAAAACCGATTTGACTAACAATAAGCGGTTCGATCTTTCGATGGAACCTTCGCTTCGACTTTTCGTTAATCAAGAATTAAATTTTAATATTAAAAATTTCAAACACCTCTGTGTTGAAATCTGATGAGATATATTTTTATTTTAAAACTGCTACGCTTCGCAAAGAGTCATACGTTTTTTGTGATAAGAGTTTTATTTAATTATTTTATTGTTATTTAGTTAAATAAAAGATGAAATAATTTAACTTGATTCTCACGTACTAATTTAATTAATTCTAAGATATTTTTAGTCGTTTTTTCAAGAACTCTCAAATTTTAACAGTCAGATTCTGTAAAATTATTATTAGACTTTATACTCTTAAATCATAGTTTATTAACGCACATTAAATAGTCGCGAGGGTGGATATACTTTTACGCGTAGGTGAAGGAAGTTCGTAGAAATTCTTAAACCTCTCGTTCTTTCAGGTCGTATACGGCTTCTATAACTGCGTCTATTTCTGTTACTTCCTGTTAGATACCAAAATAATGTTACTTTAAGCTCGCAGTGTGAACAATACAATTAGTTTAGTTTCACAAATCGTTTCCAATGCTTCCAAATTAAATTCAATAAAATATATATCGTTAAATTACAATTTGATTACGGATATGCAATAATATAATTTGTCATCCACGTGTTTGACATTTATAATATCGACGTGCATGTATAACTAGCATCGTTTGTCTCGCAATTGTATTGAAAATGTCTCATGTACATTCGATTTCGCAAATTTTCGATAAAATTGAATTATTTTATAAACTCCATTCTCTCTCTTTCTCTCTTTCTCTCTTTCTCTCTCTCTCTCTCTCTCTCTCTCTCGCTTTAATTTATCGTAATTATTGAGGAAATTCGTATATATAATATGTCTTCTTAATTATTACGTCAAACTTAAAGATCAGTTAGAAGTTCCGTGGAATATTCCAATTTGATGCTCACTATTTATAACAAATGAAATTCTACTGATGAACTAATGCAGGTTCCGCATAATAGGCGGATTCACCTGGTGGCGCGCATCCGCGAGTGCAGTTCTCCTCGGAGCATGATATGAGCCTGCATTCTGGGAACAGCAGCTGTTCCTCTTCCTCCCGATCTCTTCGTTCCCTTCATCTGAGTCTCTCCTCCGACAGCTGCACTTCGAGATCCGCTCGTACCTATACCTCCGGACCTTTCACGATCCCAACTAACCGTCTGTTCGGTTCAAAACGCGGACACGAGATTATGGCCAAAAAAGAAGCAACAGCATGGACCGTTATACGATTCACAATGGAAGCAAAATCGTAGGTTGGATTTTTGAAAATCGCGCGGTAATTCTTGCAAGGAAAGAACAATTTTGCTAAATCCAGATCTGAAAATAATTTTTGTTCAATAATCAAAATAATTTTGTGTAAAAGTCAAAATGATTGCTAGAATATCAAAACGTTTTATAGCAATGCTTATCAGTTTTAACATTCCATCAAATTATTTTGATGATTCAACAAAAAATTATTTTTAGATCTGTTTTTAGTAAAATTTTTAGATTTTTCAACAAAATCGTTCTTTCCGTGTGATTATTATTGGAATGCTTTTCATTGTTAGCCTTTATGTATATTATATTAAAGAAAATCCTATATACTTAGAATACTTATAGAATAACAATTCCTATAGAAATATCCTATATGTACTTCTACATTTTTTAGATTTAAATGTATGTTAATATAACTATGGAAATCAGTTTTTTAATTTTCATGATTTTGTTCTTGATAAGAATTAATTGGAGCCTTATATTAATCTTGTTTTAATATGTTACTGGAGGTATAGAAATATCCAAAGATTATATCTAACGTCGAGTATCATATTTGAAGCACGTGTACCGAAGAACAGAACGCTGCGTCAGCTGATGAACTTAGTAATTTGATAAACAAGGATGCACATATTTTGCAAGAAGTTACAATAATGTATTCATATAATGTGTATCAGATTTGCAATTTATGTAGGAGATATTACGAATAATGTTGGAAAACATCAGAAATCTCGTTGCAACATGTAATGCAATACGTGCAATAACAAGATTATTAGAAATCGCACAACTTTAAGACAAACAAACAAAAACTTTTTAGCTTTTAACGAAAATTCAGTTTGTCTTTGATCTCTCAATCAATCAATGTTTCTGAATGTAATTCTTCTTTTATAATTTCTCCAATTATCACACGTCAGAATATCGTTTTGATATCAAATTATATCATTACCTTGAAATCTGCCTTTATCCTATATTATTATAATTGCGTTTTGCTGTAGTATTTTTGTCTGCAGTAATTTTTCCATTTTACGTATAAGAGTCGTGGCGTGTCCTTCTTCTGTAAACGTTTTTTCGATTTTTTACGCATATCGCATGACCCTCATGCGTCAATGTTTCTCCGTAATTATCGTCGAGTCATGCCTCGAGAAACGCGATGTGAATGAGATCTTTTCGTACGAAGTTGACTCACCCGTTGTCAATGCCAGGGTAGCAGCTAGCAGCAGCAGCATAGCGACGACGCCGACGACGTGGATGGGTTTCTTAAACCCTCCGCCTGGAGGATCTCGCCACATCCTTATTGCAACTCCTCCTCCAAGTGTGCACTGATTTTCACCTGATTTCACATAAAATACACCGATTGAACGATACGCACGCCGATTGTAGGACGATCGCCGACGGGTCCACCTCGATGATATTTCCAGTAATTATTAAACCGAGAAAACGCATCTTTTTTAGGAGACATATTTAAGTATTTTATTATAAGTTGAGGGTTTATGAATTCGACAGGTAAACACGAAAGAACTCTCGCTTAGTTCAAGGCCGATTGGTCGGCTGAAGCGTCGAAAGTACAATCACTTTCAACGTGTGTGACAGTTTAGCATGCATTAAAGAAACTCGCGTGATAGGCAAATGAAATTAATCGTTCTCTGCTGGTGGAACTAATAAATATGATTAGATTAGACGACAAGATTGACACCTCGTGAACCCCGATTAACCGGTCACAATAATAGACACCGTAATAGACGCGTATCTGATATATTAATCAGCTTTGATTAAGTAATAGCTATTTAGTTTCAGCAACTTTCCCATGTAAAAGTTATCCTGTACAAGTATTATAATAAAATGATTTCTTAATATTGTGACAGAAACTAATGTCAAATTTGCATCTGTTTTAAAGCTCTAGACCTCTCTTATTATCAATCATGTAACGTGAAAATAAAGATTTGAAGTTATTGAAAAAATTGAAAGGTTAGCGTATAAATAAACTGACTCTTCATTCTAAAAGCTTTGGGGAGGAATTCGAGAAATTGAAACGTTATAATTTTAACACTCAGAAGATTTAATTTTTTAAATTAATCGTCAACACGAATACACTATTGTGCGTATGAACTGTCCGTAAATTTTGAAAAAAAAATAGCGTTCCACGACATGAGAGGAATATCTCCTACAACCTCTAGTCTCTCCTAACAACAACTCCCAGCAAGAACTGGCGATTAAAGTCACGAGAAAAATTCTGAAAGGCATGGAAAGTCTCTTTGGCATCCGTTGGTCCGCGATAATCCGCAGAACGCTAGAGCGCTATCTCGTTGCGGAACGGAGTGGAAGTGCACGTGCTGAATCGCTGATAGCAAGGGTTACGGTTGAAGAACAGCGGGTGAGTCGTCGAGGGGTGGCGACGGCGGGGAGGAAGCGAACCCGCGGGAGGGGATGAAGAGACGCGGAGGGGAGGAGGGAGACAAAATGTGGCGGAGTTGAACGGCTCGTCACGGGGCTGCTCCCTCTCGGGGCGAGTTTATTGATCGCAGGGTGCGGAGCGGTTCAATCTACCCCTCGCAACGGTGCGCGCCATGCTGCCATCCGGAACTCGGGACTAGCCAGCCGGCCGCGATGGTGTCCGTGGACCCCCGCTGAATTTCTCACGCCTTCCCCCCCTCGCCCCCGCAACGGACCTATCGCGCGGACCGAAATTATTCTTTAATCCGATACACGACGATGCGCTTCTCTCGCGAAAGTCGCATCGACTCGAGATGTGACGCCCGCATTTTATACGTCACCGTCGTTACATCATGTAACTCGGCTGCATGCCAACGAACCGCGGGAAGGAATTATTACGGCGGATAACTGAAGATCCAGAAGCGACGAAGCTTCGCGCCGTTTATTTGCCATGGGGGGGAAAACGATATCTTGCGACCGTGAGAGAAGTACGAGTCGTAAACTCGCTCGCGCTGGTGAACGAACGGCTGATCTTCCCCGCGCGAAAAAAAGTCGCGAACGTCGTGAGGAAGAGAGTCGGCAGCCGCCGCGAGAGAATTCCGGCGCGTCGTGACAAAAAGTCTACGGCAAAAAGAGCACGAAGCATATCACGACCATATGAGAAACGGAGCAACCGATGAAGGAAAAAAAAAAAAGGATCCGCGCAGAGATCGGTCGTGCTGGACCTTTCAAGTTTGAGAGAACGATTAGCACAAAGACGCGAACGGCATCGTTGCCCTAGATCTCTCAGTCGCGGTTCGCTCGTCTCGCAAATCGATCGGCGTAAAAATTAATTTCCCGATCGATCGTCTCTCGAGGGCTTCATCGAGGTTCGGCGACCGTCGGCGATCGCGTCTTGCCGAATTCTCAGCTTCCGCTGGTGGAGAGAGAGAGAGAGAGAGAGAGAGAGAGAGGGTCGTTGGCGCATTTTAAATCGCCCACAAAAATCGGCGCGCGTCACACAGGCACGATCACTGTCGATCCCGTTCCACATCGCACACACAGGCATGCACGCACTCGCACGCACATACACGCATAAACATACGCACAATCACCCACGAGCAATTTCGCAAAATCGGCCGACACTCGTTTTCGTCCCCCCCTCCCTCAATCTTCTCGTCGCGAGGATCGTCGTCTTCTCGGGGGGATGAAAAGAACGCGATCTCGGTCTCTCACGTACCGACGACGCTGATGTCGTGTGTGAATTCACAGGGACACAAATGCACGCCGACCAAGTCGGAGCGGACGAACGAGCACTCCGGATCCGCGAACGACCGATCGTCGAGTGCGGCGTCGTTTGCTTCGGAGCGGCGGCTGTTCCTCGGCTATCTCGAGGTCGGCAGCGGTGAAGTCAGCGGTGGGGGTCGTCGGCGTGAACACTCACGCTGCTCCGCGGGATGAGGGGTGCATCGCCGGCAGGGCCGTCCGGAAAATTTAAACCCTCGAAATAAACATGAAGAGATATACAGGAAAATATCGAGACGTGCATTTAATTTCAAATTTTTTTTCATAATAATATAAGAATTTTTAATGTAACCTGCATTTATTATATGATCGAGAATGAATGTAAAATTTATAAACGTCTACACAGTGGATACAATTCATAAAATATTTATAAAAATCAAGAATATAACAGATATATTTTACACACTCCAATAATTTTCTTTTTTATTGTTTGCAATAAAATTGATATACAATTAAAAAATTGACATATATATATTACTTTACTAATTGTAAGTTTTACTATGCATTTTATATATATGTACTACGTGATGTATAATTTATTAATCTTTACTATTTATTTTAACTACACCTAATGAAATAAATCAAACGAGAATTAATTAAAACTCGCCAAATGTTTTGTCCGGGGTGCTAAAACTATTCGACCGGCACTATTGGTTAGCCTTTGTCGCACGCGGCGGAAACGGCCAATGGACCAAATATATATGAAATTTGTATATGTGTGAATGTATGTGCGCGCGCGAATGCATCTTCGTGAATATTTGCGGAATGCTCGTTGCGACGATAAGCGATTATCGGCGATCATAGACAGCAATAATACGTGCAGGCCAGTGGGAGAATGCGATAAATTTAATCAATAGAATATACCGCAAGCAATTATAGCAAAATTTGCGAAAATGTAATTTGTATGAAGTATAAGAAACGCTCCTCTATTTGTTTATCTTATTTATCTCTATTAAAGATATTTCAAGTGGCTGTCGATAACTTCGATAAAGCGGTGATAATTTTACACAGATATAATTTGTAAAATTCTAGTAGAGAAATTCATATTTATATTAATACATATAATATATGAAAAGATACTAATATAAATAGAAATAAAAAATTAATTTATGTTAAAAATACATAATACAAGTATAACAGAGACACTTTACAAATTGAATATTATAATTTTTCATGTAAATGATTTTATTAATTCCTAAGAAAAACCTGTTCTCTTAATAATTATCTCCTTGCTTTGATGTTTATACATAAATTATATTTAATTATGTGTAAACATCAAATCATCATAATTATAATATTTAATTATGTGTAAACATCAAATCATCATAATTATATAAGTGTTTAACTAGGACTTTTCATCACTTTGACCGATGAAGGATAGAATAAATATTTTGCTGTTATATAAATATTTTACATTTTACGTTATATTTATGTTATATTTATTCAACAAATATAAAGACTTATACTTATATTCACATAATATAAAGATGTATTAGACTAATAGTGCTTTTATTTTAACATAATCAATTAATTAAAATTATTTAAAAATATTTTTACTTGATTAGCATGTTACCGTTTTTATAATTTTAATATTATAATTTTAAATCACTTTCTTTCTCTTTCTTCCTCAAATTGTTTGAAGAATTATATACAATATGATACTCTCTTTAATTGTTAAATGTATAATTTCTTGGTTTAAAGATCGCGGCTTTAAACGTCAGCGATGTCGCTGCGATCGTGCACATCTGCTTTTGACATTTCTGACAGTTTTACCAATCGTCGAGTTGAAGATTCCTGTTTCCCGCAGTTCTGATGACACGTCGGGTTCTTTGTAAACGGCTGCATCAAAATGGTAAATAAAGAAGAGATAAAGAAGAGTTTGAAGGAGTTGTGCAAGAATGACAAATACTCGATTTTACTTCCCACTTACAACGAAGTGGAGAATCTACCGATAATAATATGGCTTATCGTGAAATATATGGAGGAGAGGTAACTATAGACAGTTCTGCATAACCTAGAACCGGTCAGGATTTGTGTTGAACTAATGAAATAAAATAAAAATGTACAAACCTAAGCTGTGTATAGCTGACAAGAGTCATAATTTACACTACAGCGAGCTTGCCTACGAAATTATTGTGATAGACGATGGTTCACCAGATGGGACCCTGGACATGGCTAAGCAACTGCAACGTGTCTATGGCGACGACAAAATAGTCTTAAAGCCGAGAGAGAAGAAGCTGGGATTGGGAACTGCTTACATGCACGGAATTAAATACGCAACCGGGAACTTTATCGTTATCATGGACGCCGATTTATCTCATCACGTATGTATTACATTGATGAGCAATTTGGAGAAGCGATAATGATAGGCGTTTCCGTAAGAATCCTTTATTTTTCAGCCCAAATTTATTCCAAAAATGGCTGAGTTACAACGGTATCTCAATCTGGATGTAATCAGTGGTACGAGGTACGCCCAAGGCGGCGGTGTTTACGGCTGGGATTTCAAAAGGAAGTTAGTCAGTAGAGGTGCAAATTTTCTAACTCAGATTCTGTTGAGGCCCGGTGCAAGCGACTTGACCGGTAGTTTTAGGTGATGAACTTTTTACAGACGTATTTCTGTTCTTACAAAATATATTTACAGATTTCAATGTGTGTTTTTTTTTTTTAACACATGTAATTTTATAATTTCAGGCTTTACAAAAAGGATGTATTGGAAAAGCTGATACAATCCTGTGTATCCAAGGGATATGTATTCCAAATGGAAATGATAGTCAGGGCTAGGCAATTTAATTATACAATAGGGGAAGTGCCAATTACATTTGTCGACAGGGTCTACGGCCAATCTAAATTGGGTGGTTCAGAGATTTTTCAGTTTGTAAAGGGCCTTCTATATCTTTTTGCTACCACGTAATTGAAAATATCTAGGATAAGAAAAAATCACGATCCTTCCAGGTCGAAGCATTTAGACAGTAACAGGAAGCGTGAAACTTCCTTGTCAAACATATTCCAAGTTTTGTATTATCTAAATGATTATCTGATTACTGATTTTTCAAATTTATATGAATCAAAAAATAATATAATGCATCCGAATTCAACATGAATAACTCATTTCGTATTTCAATTTATTTGATTCCAAAAATAGAATATAATAGGGACATGAATGCATCTCCGAATTCTAAAGCGCCAACTTGAATAAAATAAAATGAATTGCAATTTTCAATTCATTTCAAATTATTTTTGTTTACTGGGTATACATATATATACATATATATATAAACACATGTTAAAAAAGGTTATATATATATATATAAACATTTTAAAATAAATTATTAAAACATTACTTTTTATATGTTTTATATGCTAATTACATTTTCCAATTCAAACACGAAATATTATTGCTCCCGTCGCAAACATCGTTCGATTGAATGACCGAAATAATTATACAGACCGATTGCGATATGTTAGGCATTTCTATTACACGAATATCTTCACGCGATATTTTTATTTCGTAACGTAAATGTTTTCACGTGAAAATAATCCGAAGTTATTTCAAAATAACACGTGCGTTTACACGTGGCCGTGAACGATGTAGAGGAGCATGCGTATACCGCGCTGTTCGTGTGGGCTCGTCCACCCTCGCCGCACCCTCTGACGTCACGCAGCCTCCATTTATTGATCCATTACAAAATTACAGTCTATATTTCGACTCGAGCAGACTCGACTAGAATGCAAGACGCGAGCCGACTACATCAGTAGAATATCGGCATTTATGTGGTAAACAAACGCGGTGTATCCTTTGAAACTAATTTCTCAAGGATTCTCAAATATTACCGCAACCTTCTTTGGTTAATTTACGTTATATTTAACTGAAAAAGATCGCAGTTTTACTAAATATAAAGAATAAATTACTTCACAAACAAACTCCTGTGTGTTTTCACATAAAAGCACCCAAAAGAAATTTATTTCTGTTAGATCAAATTATTTTTTTCGAAATCAAAATCAAAAACTGAGATGTTCAAAATTTTGAGATCGTAATACATAAGACTTGATAACATAACTAAAATACCAAGTATAAAATTGAAAAAGATTATATAATTTCAATCAGCAATTTTAAGTGAGAAATATATTTTTAGGGATGGCCGTGAAAAAGAAATAATTTATATATGTCGAAATCCGAGTTGCTCCTCGTGAGGATTAAAATAAATCGGTAAGAATAGAAAGATATGTGAGAACCGATTCAATTGTCGTGAGATCAATCCTTTATCTTTCACGGTCGAGGGAAAATAAATTCGCATTAAGCTTCCGATTCACCCCTTCCTTCCGCGGTTGTTCGACGATTACGCGGAAATCTCCATCGACTCCATGGCAACTTCGTGCAACGCGCCTCCCCGCGCGATATCTGCGTCGCGTATGCAGCGGCGTGTGCAAAGCCGCGTCGCATGCAATCGCGAATATACGCATGCCTTTTCGCTGCAGGAAAATCCCTCAACCCGTTAGAGGAGACGGCGGTTCGCCAGCACGAGAAGCCAGTTCTGTCGCAAGCTTCGCCGCGGCCGGATGCGCGAAAGTGGGGTGGCCTGCGCGCCGGGGTGAAACTTGCAAGCTCCCCCTTTATCGAGCTTGCAGATGGCTGTGCCTTTTAGATTTTGACGTGTTCCCTCCGTTCCTCCCCGTTCGTTCGTCCGTGCGCCTCGTGGTACAACATTTCAGTCGTTTTTATCACGCCGTTCGCTCCATCGGTTGCCGTTACCCGACGATCAGCACCCCCGCGACATGCCCAGGAAAGTCGGATTCAACGTCGTCTATGCCACGAGTAAGAGCGGCCAGGCCTAGAATTGTGGAGTAAAAAGCGCGTGCTAACCTCGAGCGCCGACCGGAGAAGGGCTCGAGAAGGGAAGGATATTACGAAGATCTAAATTTTGCATTTAAATGGCAGACTTAGGGCGGATAGTTCTATATATTAAATAGTGACGTTCGACTTTAGTGTTCTAAATTCTAGATGCAGTGGTTCCTAGATACAGGGTGTCGCGATTAGCAAAGATAATGCAATTGGTGATTTGTGAATGTTCTCGCAAAGATTAATTAAAGCTAATTTATTACGATTTAACTAGTTTAATCTACATGAATAAATGTAATAAAAAATGTCTTAAATTTTTCTCCTCGTTGCGCCCTGAAATTCATCCCTTGCGGCTCAGATCCGCATGGCTTTCGGCTTTCTAATTATTTCTGCCGCGATGATCTGCCAGGATCTCGCCAGAATCGCCGTCTTTTAACGCTCCTATCGCATTTTCGGATACCTACATTGATTTCTGCCGCGAGACGAGTCTGCGGTTTTCTCAGCTCGTGACGAGGCATGTTACTCAGCACGTGTCTGCATGATTGACGCGAGTAATAATCTATACGGTAGCCACGAAATTGCTTTTAAAAATGCATTGACGACGTTATGAATTTGTAAGAGTGTAGGGTGGCACGACTCGGAACGACGTGTACACATTCCGTGAAATACATGGTTCTACATATGTGAAACCGCGCGGTATCGCGTGACAGCGTTACATTGCTCCAAAAAGCTTCCCCGCCTCGTAAGACTTATTTTAAAAATTTAAAGAATTGGTTTAATTTTGAAAATCTAAATAGTGGCGTCGAGAGTACCGGTTCTCCTTGCAGAAGCGCGCGCGGAATTGTATAAATACTGTAAACGTGAATGAAAATGTACGAAGAAACGTTTGAGAAAATATCTAAGCTCTAAGTAGCAATATCCTGCACCACATGCAACCATGTGCGTCAATAATTAAGTAACGTATAGTAAGAACTTCCTTCGAGCATGCTCGCTCGACATTTGGCTTTCGATTGATGGAAAACTTGCAGGTCTATTTAAAGTATTATTATATTAATTTCAGTTAACTCTTACGACTTAAGCAAGTACTATCAAGAAAGATAATAAAATTATGCTAGAGCGGTTTTGTCATTTGCATTTTAGAAAATAATTTTTTTTATCATTCAATGCATCGAATAATGTACAAAATACATTTATTTATTAAAATTATAATAAAAATAGACTGAAAAAATGCTCTAGGATAATTTTATCGCTCTCTTCGTAGTAGAAGGACTATGCCTTGGGATTTATTCAGATTCTGAAATGTATGTTCAAGGCGAGGAGGATAGGCACTCGTCGTTAGAGCTTAACGTTCACGGGCCGACAGTAAGAGGTTGGCAGAGTGCAAAAAATTGCACATATCCTCAGGAACTGATTCTACGTCTTCATGGGCCCACGAAGCTTACAAGAATACAAGTCTTGGCTCATCAGTACCTCATACGTAAGTTCGAATTTCCAAAAGCTAAATTAGATCGAATATTTTGAATGAAATTTTCATTTTTAATTAAATAATTATATATAAACTGCGCATCACCATCACTCTTGCTAATTATAATATTTTTATATTTTTTACATCAAGAGTCCTTTGTATAATATTTTCGTATTTAAATTATTCGAATTATTATAAAATTTATCTTTTTAAAAATATGCGGCAATTGATGATAGACAAATTATAAGTGTTACATCAATGATTTTGAAAAGTGATTTGAAAAAAATTTTATTTCAGAGATAAAATTAAAAAATGGTTAAAAATAATATATTTTAAGTTATACATTAAAAAGTTATATATATTAAAAATTTAATTTATTTCTGCAGAAATATTATTTATTAATTTACTTCTAAGTTAAGGCTTAAAATACAAAATAGCAAATACAGATTCTAAACCATTTTAATTCAGCATTATTTAGTATTATAAATATATAATGCTGAAATTATGATAAAAGAACGATAAAAAATAAGTTTTATTCCAATGCGATTAAAGGCATTATTGTCCGTTAAAACGACGTTTCTGTCCGTTAAAACGGCTGAAAAGCAATTTGCTGACAACAGAAATCAAATTAACGAGTCTACCGTGATTTCCTGGGGCTATGTCGTCTTCTCTTCTTCATTTTCCGACTACACCGCCGGAAATGAAAATGTACCGGGCGGCAAGAGAATCGTGTTTTCAATATAAATTTACGGACAAATATATACTTCTTTCGATGTATACTATCGATGTAATTTCTGAGAAGACTGTAAACCGTTACATCTATTTTGATTGTAGCTGAGAAGCTGGAGATCTGGACGTCGAGGGAGGAAAATGCATCCGCTTCGACGGAGTTCAGTTACCTGGGTTACATCACACTGTCCGACAACGCATCGACCCTTTACAAGAGCAGGGAGCTGAAAAGCGTGGCTCTTCCGGAAACGGAAGCACTGTCGCTGAAGCTCAGGCTACACAAACCGCACAGTAATGCGCACAACACCTACTGTCAGGTACGCCGAGTCACTGATAATCGGTTAAATAAAAAAAATATATATATAAATACATAATTTAATAAAGTGTTTGAATAAAATAAAATAATAAGGTTTAATAAAATAAATTTAAAATGAGATTAAATTATTATAGAGATAAATTTGCTGAATTTTTTAGACAAAACTATAAAAATCATTTTTTATCAGGTTGGCCTTATAGCCATAAATATACTTGGCGAGCCTTACGGCCAGGAAATAACCGGACAGGGGGACGCTCCGTACAATCCGCATTACATCTCGCCTTACGACGATCTGGCGTTCGAAATGTACGTCGATCGGGAAGTGGCCAAAATCATAAGGCAAATGGAGGTGAAGAAGTTGCTGGCGGTGGAAGAGGAGAGATTCGAGTACGCTTCGAAATTGAAAGTGGCTATGGAGAATCTGAGAAAAGCGGGCGAGCGTCTGGGCAAGTACGAGCTGGAGAAGAAGTATGCCATCGCCTTGGAAGATTACGATAAGGCCAAGGCTAAAAAGGCTCAGGCTCAGCAGTACAGACAGCAGGTCTATCAGTCGTTGGAGATATACAATCTACTCGAGATCAACGGGGTGAGTAATTTCGTAGAGTTCGCAAACTTCCTCGGAACCTCTCGCTAGCACGTCGGCAATGATAGTAATTAAGGCGATTAAAACAATGACGCAGCCTGTGGAAAAGAATAATCTGTCGACCGCGGAGGACAAGGAGCAGACAGCCGACAATTCGAACACGGCGGCGTTGCCCGACGACGTGACATCTCCCCCGAGGCTGGTCGTTCCTAATCGCGATGGTGCCGTGTCACCAAATGGTCCCGCACATCAACCGCCCGTGTCGCCATTGCGTCAGAAGACTAACAGTCCCGGTATAATCTATCGAAGTATAAAAATATCACGTTCTACTATTTTTTTTTTAAATCTGATTTAGAGCTTTTGAATTTTTAGATATTTACGTAATGTTAAATGTTTCTTTTACTCCCCAGAGGTAACCGATAGCCCTACGAACGGTGTCCTTGAGAAGCAAAGCTGCAACAAGGCCGGATCCCTTCCCAGGCGGAAAACTAAATCAGCGGGTCCAGCCCTTCGGTCGAGTTACGAAGCCTACGAGGAGAGGACCATCCCCGCTCTAAGACAGTAAGGCAGTACAACGTTGAAAACATTGTAAGTATGGCATCGAAACGGCGCGATAAACTTTCGTCGATATTCATGTTTAGTTCGCACACAAACGAGTTTACGAGAGAGTGCCACCTGGACGGCGCAGAGACGAAAGTTACCTCGAAACTCAATGACAGGGAGAAGAAACAAGCCGCGTTACCTATAGCGGTCTTCGGAATGGAAATGGTAACTCGAACAAAGTTGCTTCCTATAATGCTCGGCTATAGAATAAGTGATGACGATAAACGCATACACAGGTGGAAAAGTTCTACTCGAAGCAATTCACGGACAAGGAGGAGGGGCTGATGCAATTGAAAGAGGAATTGAAGAAGTTCGACACGGCGGTCTCGAAACATTCTCCGAATAAGACAGCCAGGGCGGCGATTCTGCTGCTGCACAGAGCTCTCAGAGACAAAGTCTTCAGCGTATACAGTTTAGCCGCCCAGCTTATCCGAATCTTCTTCGCCGAGTTCGCCGTGGACAGGTAAACCTTTCGCATCGGATGTGTATAAATATACTGTTTCTATAGCCTTATAGCTGAAGTTCAGTTGCTTACGATTTAATAATTGATTTAGAGTGTCTTCGACCGAGATTGCCAGAAGCGTCGAACGTTTGTTGCCGGAACTTCTGACGAAGTCCGGCGACACCACCCCGAGGATACACAATATGGCAGTGCACACAATCCTCAGCATGGCGGACTGCAAATGCGTGCGGGAGTTGCATTTAATACCGGTGCACCTGACCAGACCCGTCAACAGCAGCACGCATCAGAGGCTCGCGCTGAGCAGGCTGGAGATGGTGGAGCAACTGATACTCAGCCACGGTATCTCCACGGAGAAACAAAGGTGATTCTGATACGATATCCTCAGGAGAAGCTCGAGCTTGCATGAGGAATGTTTACCATAATGTTTTGAGGAATACTGGGCCTCTGCCGTCGAAACGCAGTCCTTCTGACTTCCGTCTAATCGATCCGCAGGGGTCCTTCCTCAAGCTCAACCCTATGTTATTAAAACGCAATTACTCTGATAAGGTATTGTAACTGTTGTAGCGGGCTGACTTGTCGGACGTTATCCGAATTAGGTTCTTCCGGTCTGCACCATCCGGCTGAGGCAGTGCGAAAGGTCTCCGAGAGGATTCTCGTGTTGGTGTACAAGGTCAATCCCAGATTGGTGCGGAAGCAACTGCCGCCCGACGACGACATAACGCGACGGAATCTGCTGTATCGCCAGCTCTTTCATGAATTCGACTTGATCGATCTTCAGGTACTCAACACATATTTATACCTGCAATACGTAAAATGGAATTTTCATTTGTTTTACATGCGCGAATAATTACAGAGGAAAAAGGAAACCGAGTCCACCCAAAAAGCAACGACGACGCCTACGCGAACTAGATCTACGGAAAATCATGTAACTAATTTAACCAAATCACCGTCGAGATCGAGCCCGGTGGTGAGTACCGGAAGTTCAACGAGTATCACGTCTCCGTCCGAAAACAGTACCGACCATAAGGGAGATAAGTACGTACAGTGAAAATTAAATTCATTTAGGATCATTCTTGATGAGAAATCATTCTTCTCATAGAGAATCATTTCTTAATGTTTACTTTGTTTGTGTGTATTTTGCAGAATGTGCATATTTTGCCTGTCTAAGGGTCAAGTGTACTCCGAAGAAGGTCTGAACATACATTATTGGAGAACTTGTCCCATGTTAACGAAATGCGAAGCATGTAAGCAAGTAGTAGAAATTTCTTATCTGAGCCTGCATTTATTGAGTAAGTACATGAGAGTTTAAATACGTTTAAATTGTATCTAATATTCGAAAATATTTCCATAATAGACACTTAAAAAGCGTGATAAATATTAATAACTGGCATCTATCGAAATTATGTATTAGATTCGATCATTTTTTTTTTACAGATGAATGCGACATGAGAAGTAATTACGTAAAATGCGATACGTGTAAACAGGCGGTGCATGATAATGCGTTCGAGACTCACAGACAAGACAAGAAATGCACAAGTATTATTTTACTGTTTCGATATGATAAGAGCTACGGATCGAGTGAGGTGGAAATTTTTAAAACTTGATTTTTGTTTTAGAACCTATAGAGGGATATGAACGCTGTCCGCTTTGTTCGGCTTTGGTCAATCAAAACAAGTGGAGGGAACACCTCATGGGGGAACATCCGTGTGTAAATAATCCACGAAGCAAAATCGGGAAAAGTTGTAAGTCGTGATATATTCCCGACTTGATAAAAAAATTATTTAAACTATTTATAACTATTTACAAATCGAGAAAGAATCCTTTGTAAGGCTTGTTTTTATAAGAGTACAGGAGAGCTCTACAATAGCAGAATAAACTCTGTTTTCACACTTTAGCGAAATTCGAAATTTCTATACGCTTCTAGGTTCGAAATCGCCGTCTAACTCGCAAAATCTCAGCGGCAAATTAACATCACCGACGGGTAGGGATTACTAGCATCAGGCAACAACTTCGGAGCCAACGGAGGAATTCGACAAATCTTAGGGAGAAGGAGATTTTGATTTTATTTATTTTATAGTTTATGATATGTTATATATATTTATATATGAGCTGTCCAGCGTTTTTCATGTTTGTACCTACATTTAAATGATTTTTTTCTAGCAAAACCCGTCCTTTATTAATAGAGATTCATATTGAGCGGATTTTTAATTGTAAGTTGGGAATCCTGATATTTAAAAGATATTTAAATATTTAGGCGCGCGCTTATTAATTAAGCTAGTTTGCGGAATCGTGTGGGAGAATCATGACCTCTGATCATGGCTAAGACGAGAGATATTAGGAATTGTTAATAGTTGTTTCATTCTTATCGTTGTTGCATGATATCCGCGAGGACATATACAGGGAATGCATCAATTATTAAAGGCAGTGATAGCAGATGTTGCAGAAACATCTGTCGTTTCAGGATTAACGATTCCGTGCATCCGGCCATATTTATAATAAAAATTTATACTACATTATGGCGAGATGCGTCCAAGGCGTTAGGAAATGAGAAGCTCTTTACCGCCGCTCAAATAACGTTAGATAACGCATGTAATTTCGTAAAGCAGCTATTTCATAGAAAATGGACAGTAAAAATAACCATTTTATCATTCCATCGTCGAAGTTTTTATCCTATAAAATCATCTTTTTTTTTTAAGTCCGTTTATAACATAATTTACACATTTTTCAGTATCAATATACTCGATTCTTATCAGATCGGATTAAAATATTCAAATAAAATTTAAAAAAAAATGCAATTTAAATATCTTAATTTATATCATATATGTAAGAAATTAGAAAAGTTGAAAAGTCTTAATTACGTCATAATGAGCAATTCAATTGTTTCAGTTGATATCTCTGCATCGACTTCCTCTGTCTGCTAGTCCCCTGTTCCTTGTTGCAACTCTTTTTCATTAATCTTCAGTTTTAATTTCTTTAGTTTCCAATTCAGTTTTAACATCATCGTTGTTGACGTCCTCGGCTAATGCGGCTGCGCGATTTTCCTCGAATTTATTTTTCTCTGTAGAATTACAATGTAAACAATATATATTCTTCCACGATAGCATAACATTATTATTACAAGCAACATACCAAATTTACAATTATTATTACAAACACTATTATTACAAGCAACATACCAAATTTAGAGCAATCCGCTCCTAAAAGCCGTAAATAATGAATTGCGTCGCAAATAGGCACATATGCCCTAAGAGACATTACTCCTCTCCATCCTACCAGCTGAAGATTTAGGCGATTTAGATTGTCAGTCTCCTCTTCTTTGTATAACAATATACAACTTCCAATCGCTTAAATTGAATATATTTTTCAAAAATTTATGAATCATCGTGTTAAGAAAGTATAAAAAAAAGCAATTATATACAATTATATTTACCGAATTCTTTGAGACATTCTTGAGTGTTTGGGCTTAATTTCACTATTTCAGGTGGCGTGTGTGGATTATCATTTTGTAAAAGCATTATTAAATCTTCTTTCGAGACTTGAATCTTTCTGTGACCATTTATGTAACGACTGATACTGTGCATCCCTTCTTGAGCGAGTCTGAAGGCGCAGTTCATATTTTTATTGTCGCATCGCACAAACGTTTTAACACCAGTGTTGATCATCTTTACTTTATTCTCATTAGATACCACTATATCACGGATTGCCGGCGACGTGAAATAAATATTTTTCTTTTTTCCCTCGTGACACCTTACTAACAGGCAACGTGGATCTAAATCATCAGATATACCATAAAAATCTCTGAAAACATACATATAAACGATATATATAAACGATACATATAAACGATGTGAAAAAAACAATTATATTAAACAGCGAAAGAAGAGAAAAAAAAACTGTTGAAACTCACTTTATAGACTGCCATACGTCTTCTGTTTGGTCCTTAAAGAAGACAAATGGATCTTCTCTGTAACCGACTATCCTCCTCCGCTTCTTTTGCGATTCCCGCGATTTCTTTTCTTCTTCCAATGTTCGTTTTCCACTTTCTGAAAGCATTGTGCCTTGCGAAACTTCTTCCCCGAGTACGTGCTTATCCTTGTTTTCATTACCATCTGCATCCTGCGCAGTTTGATTTAATGCACTAGTGTCATTTTCCCATGGTAGGGATTTTACTTTCTCCAGCACGGCCACGAAGAAACCTCCGGTGTCTTGATGATGTGGTAATATTCTCATACTACAAGATATTAAAAATTGGTGAACATGTAATCTACAGAAATAACATATTTTTATCTATTAATTTATTTGATACCCACCAACGTTCGAGGTGAAACTTAGTAGCTTCGTTTGCATCTGGAGGAAACATTTTCGGCCGTACTTGCGTCTGCCACTGTTCTGGAACGTCGTCCCAGTTGTCGTAATATTGTAAATTTTTAGATGCCGGCTTCCAGCGCGTAACACCTAATTGCAAAATATATAATACTATCATATGTATAACATAAAGATTTGAAAGATTCACAAATATCTTTATGAATGCACTTTACACATATTTTACGTATTGCTGTCTAAACTAACCAGGATCACACACTAATCCTGGCACTAAATCTCTACAGTCAATTAACTGTACTGAGTCTCCAGTCTCGCAAAGAAGCCTGTGAAGCACTGCTTCATTTTCAATGGGATTTAGCGAACACGTGGAGTATACCATCCTCCCTCCAATTGCTAGCAATTCTAAGCCACGTTTTGCTATCCTGTACTGAATTCTAAGCCAAAATATTTTCTACATTATTATTTATATGACATATAATTTTGTAATTTTATTATATTAAATACAAATGGTAAAATAAATGCCTTTAAGAGCCGACTCTTGGATTGAGTTCTCTTCATATATGTCTTAACAAATCGCCGCAATGTAAATTCTATATTTGACCTGCTCCTTCATTCTTGATAAATTAATCAGAAAACTGATGTGTCAAATTGATTTGAAAAAGTCAATGACAGTAAAAACGAAGGAAGGAGAAAACTTGTGGACAGTCTCCATGTTAACGCCTACTGCATACTACAATAAAGGATCACTTACGCGCCACAAGAACTGCGTCGACTCTTAAAGGCATTTATTTTACCATTTGTATTTATTATATCAGAGTCTAATATTCTCTTCTTATGTTTATTAATAATTTATACCCGTGGAGATTGCTGCCGTTAGCAGGACTCCATTTGCACCATATATCTGGATTCTTTCGCATAGTACCGTCACCACTGCATGGGACGTCTGCAAGTATTCTATCAAATCTGTAAAAAAAAAAAAAACTTATATGCAAATGCTCGATATAAAGATGATTATTAAAATATTATAAAGATTGGATTCCTACTTTAATGTATCTTTTGTACCATCTGGTTTTGTAATCACGAAGTTTGGCATAATTGACGAGTCATGGTTTGTAATGAGAATGTTCGGGCTATTCAGTCTCTTAGCTTGGTGTACGAGCATGTAGCACCGAATGTTGTCGACGTCATTAGCTATTACAAAACCCTCTACAGCAGAATTGAAATATTAATATTTGCATTGTGCTGATTTCGTAGTGTATAGCTTTAGTATTAATTACCTGGAGGATCAGTTCCCTCATCAGCGTGTATCATCTCTATAAGTTGCGCTGTTTTCGATCCTGGTGCCGCGCACATATCGAGAACCTTGTGCGACGGTTTTACATCCAGGACCAAAGGAGGCACCATACTGACTACCTCCTGCCTGCTGATGCTGCCGTTGTTAGTTTCAGCAATGAGGAAGTTGTGCAGCCTAAAGTACGCCTCAGATCGTCGTATGTCTTTCCTAGTTAATTGCAACTGCCAAGCTAGCTCCTCCGGATAAAAAGGTAAACTGTGTAGTATAGTTTTCGACGAACCGTCAGCGTCCCCCTTATCATCCTTCGAGTTTGCATTCAAAATCTCTTTGAAGAAATCACTTTTGATTATTTTCAACAGGGCCTTAGCTTCGACCTTCGAACCGGTGATACGGAAAGCAACTGGCAGATTGGTCCTTATAGTGCTGATAAACGCGTCCCATTTATCTTCCGGCACGATTCTCTGCGTCTTGTAATAATCCTCGAAATCCTTGTTCTCCCGGATAATATCCGCATAGCTTCTATGAGGAGTATTATCCCATTCGTCCTTTTTCTACAATTATCAATTACACGCACTTATCAAATTCGCACCATCGAGTATTATAATATAAATCAAATAAAAAAAAATTAAACTTGTTTTAAAAAGACACAAATGTGTAAAACCTATGCATGTTACTCTCTCACACGTAAATCATATATAACCTCTCAATATAACATATTTTCAATATTAGAATAACCATATACCTTCAGCTTCTCACGCCTTTTTTCAGCGAAGTTCTTTTTCGGCTTATTTTTTCGGCCTTTACCCATTTCTCCGTTAAAAGTATGTGCTTTTGGTTAATTAGCACTAACAACCTCGCACAATATGACTAGCTTAAACTACACGTGACAATTTACAATGATTCACAAATGCTATGCCCAATGCCCATAGACTTATAAGATCATGGAGGACTGGAGAGAGCATATCGGTGGTGGGGGTTTCATCTAAGACGGTTGACCAATATGGCCGCACCCGGATATTGAAGTAGAGCGGTAAATTCGAGTGGATTTATTACTATGAAAATTTAATTAGTCTAAAGCGAGCTGAGTTACATGTTTTTCAGCTTTTGGAACCGCGAGGATAGTCACAACATTTCATTCTATTAACTCACACATTTCAACCATTTTACGCGAATACTTGGGAA